AAATATTTTAATTCTATTATTTTTCAGCTTCATCGCTACTGGCTTCCTGTTATTCATGGATGTATCCTTCTTTGCTGAATTTTTTGTTGTTGACAAGAAATGTGAATTAAAAAAGCAAAGATGAAAAACCTTTTTAATGCATGCATTCATAGTTTCATGAATCTCCAAAAGTTTAGAAAGTAATCTTCAAACTATGAGCAGTGTAATAAACTGAAAAAGTATATCAGTATTTGTTTTATCAGAGTTCCTGTAATACAGTCAGATAATTAGTTTTTATATAGCACAGAATTTTTATCTATTAAAAAGTAGCTCTACTTCTCTTGTATTCATTCTAGTTTACTGAATATTTGGTATTGATAAAGCAATATAACAAATAATAATGTTATAAGCATAGTGATGATATTATAGTACATTTTAATACCTAATATTAATGTACATTACATGTACATGTTATTGAACATTCAACTAATAATTTTGAACTCGTTGGCAGCCATACCTAAAAAATATAAACATTTAAAGTTCTATATACCTCTGGTTAGAATAAAAGATTTTGATTTTGTTTTCAGTTTAAAAGTAAAGTTGAAAGCCTTCACCAATTTTGTTGTTTTCTTTAAGCCTATAAAAAAAGTCATGGCAATTAAAACTAGCATTATCAATCAGAAAACATTTTCATGGTGTCTGATTTCAAGGAGAAGTTGCTTACGTGCAGGCACACGATATTTTATGAGAGGCCTGGACTCCGAAGGTCATGTTGCCAACTATATTGAAACAGAACAAATTGTAGAGTTTGATGGCAGCAAAAGTTCTTTTGTACAGGTAAACATCGCTTAGCCTTGTTGTTTTATTTGAGATGTACATAATTTTTCAAATGGCTTAAAAATAATTGTTGTATGAGCATTTAGATAAATATTCATTTACTGAGAACTAATTAAAACTCATAAAAGTAAAGGTCAGAACTATTTTCACTAAATGTAACATTTATATAATTTTTTTTCAAATGTAGAAACATACCTTGTATTAACATTTGTATTTTGTGTAAACTTTCTTTTGAAAATCTTGAACATAACTTTTACAGTTATTAACTAACTTTTTTTTATCACTTAGTAAATTCAGGTATTGCGTAATAATCTATGTCAGATGTTCTCAAACTGTTTGTGACCATTCCTCATGGAGTTGTATTACAGATTTTAAAATAAAAGATATGTGTAAAACTTTATTTACATATCAAGAAATGTACTCAATTTGTATTTAGGGATGCCTGAAAATTTGGGGGTTGAGGATTATTCAGGGCCACAAAAGGGGGAGGGTCTCAGTCTTGAAGAACTTGGGAACCCATAATCCTTAGTATATTTTTATAGTATCAGACAATACATATTTTACTTGACTGGAGTCTGTTGACTGCATCCTTAAAAGTTTTAGACAAAATTTCAAATTAATAGTGCCAACAGTTCAAAAAGTTGTCCAAAATCTTAAACAGATCCATTCCACAGAAGTCTCCAATTGAGTTTGTTTTAGCACAAGGCTACATGGTAGGCTTTCAGCACTCTGTCATCTAAAATCTTTAATTTTAGCATTGTAAGTCCATAAACTTACTGCTAACTCATTGGGGGACCTCCAATCAAGTAAAGCAGTTTTCTTTACCTGAACTTTTTTCTTAATCAAGTGTATATTATTCTTTTAGACTCGAGGATCGGTTCCTCTGTATTGGACTCAGATGCCAAATCTGAAACGAAAGCCTTCACCTCAAGTTATTAACAATCAGAACCACGTAAGTTTGGTTTAATTGAGTAATAGTATATGTAATCCTGCCTGTATAGTGAAATGAAAGAATGTGTAGATATTGTTTTGATAAACATACTTTATTGTGTGTAAAAGCATTGTAGTGTTAATTGTACTAAAAACCTATAACTGTGAATTGTAAATGAGAAATATCTTTAGCTGTTCATAAGGAGCTCACACCAAATTAGGAACAGAAAGCTAATGCTTTTCCTTTCATTACTGAATGATAATCAACTCTTCCACATAAGTAAACTTGTAACATCTTTCAAAGCTTTATTCAGATGTCAGCATTACACAAACTCGTACTCCAACCATAAATTCTCATTTAATACAAGAAAATCAAAGACACGTGCTAGTATATTATATTTTTTTATTTATTTTGATTTTTAAGACATAATTCTGAATTTAAACAATTATTTATATTTGTTGAAGTTGATTATAACTTAGGAAACATTGATGAACATACACAAACTGTAAAGGTAAATGATGTTTTTGGTGAAGAGGTGCAGTCTTGTAATGCTCAGTGTATTTTCTCACTTTGATGTCATTAAAAAACCATTAATATCTTGTATAACAATTAAATATTTGACTGTTCTATGTATAATTATTTCTCTGTCATTGTTTTTTACTCTTACTTGACTTTCAAATTACAGGCATGATTGTTCTTTGTTAAATACAAAATGAACTCTCTCATTCTCTGTAATTATTTTTATGCTCATACTTAGCTGTTAGATTAGTTGTGATTATTTTTTTAAAAATAGATGAACCTTATATTTTCTGTCATTGTTTTTACCATTACTTGACTGTAAGATTACAGGTATGATTGTTCTTTGTTAAAACTGATGAACCTTATATTTTTTGTCATTGTTTTTTATACCATTACTTGACTGTGTAATTACAAGTATGAATGTTCTTTTTGAAAAAAGGTGAATATATGTTAGCAAATAAATAAAATGACCATGAACTCCACAGAATCTTTCAAAGTTTTTTATTTGCTCAGTGTTGATAAAATTTCCTTTACTGTGTAACATGTTTTTTCTTTGTTTAATATTAGTGTATACTCTTGTAGATGGTTTAATTTTTGGAATAAAGTGGTCTTAATTTGAATGATAGAGTTCATTACAGGAAATGTATGTTCCAAATGAAAGGGTAAAGCTGAAATGTTAAACAAATAAAAACTTTTGAAAGAGTCTCTCTAGTTCACCTTTGTTTTATTTATTTGTAATTATGTGTGTCATATTCCAGTCAGCATTACATAATTTAAAGAACTCTGTGTTTTTTTACATCACTTTTAGATTGATGGTTTCTCCAAACACTTTGACAACCAGATATTTAACTATGGAAGACAGGTTCTAATTGATTTGGTATGATTCAATTTTCTTTATTTATATGAAAAATCTTGAAATAAAGATTATTTTCATTCTTATTGTATTGCAATAATAAGAAATATTACTGAGTTGTGTTTATTTTAGAGCTACAAAGCCAGTCTGTTAATATCAACTGAAGTTTCATAATATCAAAACAAAAACATTATTAAATTTTTTATTTCTATATACATTTTCTATTTGTTTTTAGTGTTTCACTAAACATGTTTCTCTAAGTAAGTTTACTCTTGTGGTTTTATTTACAGACTTGGTAATTGTTTAATAGCTCTAAGTGAAATGTAAGAAGTGTTTGTCAAAGTTTCACTATTATTTGTGTGCAGATAGACCAGAAGGGTGCCGAAGGATGCCTAGGGAAGAGTTTTGCAGAAATGGTTCAACTTGGTAGGAATTCAAACATAAGGTGACTTGTTAATTTTGAATACTAGTAAAATTAATCAAATGCTGTTTAATACAGGAGATCAAAACTGACATAAATTTTTGTTGCATTATTGAACTGGAATGTTTATAAAATCTAAAGAAAATTGCCATTTTGCACATAGCTGAAAGTGAATAATAAAGTCATGATATAAGATGTTATTTGAATTGTTCAATAATGTAGAGTGAAACAACATTTTGCACAATTTCTAGAACAAAGTTGTAAGTTAATTACATTTAGATATTACTGACCACTGATTGATGTTTGAGAGTGGGTTACTGCACAGTAAGAATAAAAAAATGTTGAAGGTACCATGGACGGAGACGACCTATCTGATACAATAATACAGTTCTCTGCAACTGAAATTATTGCTATTTCTACTTACCTTGTATGAGAATTGTAAATTCAGGATTAAAATTGATAAAAGCTTGGTTTTTAAACTTATGAAGCTGTCCATGGATGAAACTAATTGTGTTTTATATGATAACTATCAGACTGGTGTTAAAATGTACTGTAATTTTGCCATTTGTAATAAAAAATTAGCATAAAAAATGGTAAAAACACACTATCATAGTTATGAACAAATGATTAAAGAATTAACAAAACATATAAGAAATTTGATAGGTTCTAATGGGGAAGGTGTTGCAGAACTGGGCCAAATAACTGTAATGCTTCTTTGTACTAATGTTTTTTTAACCAACAAAAATACATAGAAGAGAAGACAACTCCCAAAAAGAATGCTTTAAGATTTTTCTAGGCCTAAATAGGCAACTTGAATTTTTGCCCCACCCAAAAAAGAAGAAAAACAATGTTTGTTTTTTTACCCTATTTGTTTCAATCCAAATTGGTAAAATAAAATCTTTGCAAAATACTTATCTTTGCCATTAACTAAGATTGTCTTTCCTTAGAATCTTCTCCCAAGATGTGTAACTGTTTTGACTGTTTGAGCCTGATTCCTGTAATCTTGTTGTTTTTCAGTTATTGTTTTTTATTTGTAGCAACTTTCAAGATAATTGCTGGAAAGAAAGTATTTTCTGTAGTTTATTGGCTAGTTAGTGATTTCAGTAATTCACCAAGAAAGTGGATTTCTGTTTTAAATAAAATACTGTGCTGAAAAGATTAAAAATAAAATAAAATTTGACAACACATGGCTTTTCTTTCTTTGAGTTTGTAAGACATTTCTTTTTTTCTGCATAAATTCAATCACCAATAATTGCAGCAAGGTTTTTAATACCTAATCTGGAGCAAAAATATGAATGAAAACTATTAATTGTGCATACATTTAATTTATAGACTTTTTAAATATGTTATATTATGTTTTCAAACAAATTCTTCCACCTTCAGAGGCAATATTGTAATCAAAATTACATGATGATTGAATTTATTGAATTGCATACTTTGACATATAGATGCTTTTGATTAATAAGAAGTATAAAAAAAATCGTTTTTTTACTTTATATTATAAAAAGTCTAATACATTGTATGTACAGATCTGTCTTCAGATATTTCTTGTTCTGATTCCTATTGAAGCTCTTTTAAATCCTTTATGTTTGACAAGAATCACCAAGGGAATACATGAATTTTCATTCAATCATACATTTCTTTTTACATTAGGTATGAAGCTTTTGATTTCCATCATGAGTGCAGAAGAATGCGATGGGATCGTTTGTCAATTTTAATTGATAGATTAGCATCAGTGCAAGATGACTTTCGGTTAGTCAATTGTTTCAAGATTTAGGTTTTAAGTGCTTGTGTATCTTTTAGTGTAACTAAACGTTTTGTGAAGTAATGCATCTGTCTTTGCATTCTCTCTCACTCTTTTTTTTTAAGTTTAAATATACAGTATATGTCTTAAAAATTATATTATTTTGTGTTTTCAGATATTCTGGATTTGATTACTTAATGAGAAAACCTGATAAATAATTTTTTTGTCATGCACAGGAATTATTTTCTTTAATACTAATTTATTAATTGAATTAAATATGTTTAAGTCATAGTTTAGGGTTAAGAACAACAGTTTGATATTATATTGATCCATATTTTGTAATTTGAACTCTAACCAAATTTTTAAGATTTTAGGGGATTCATTTTAAAAACCAAATTATGAGGACAACCTTAGGAAATTAGTGATCAGAATGCCTGCCTCAGTTTACTCTAGTGTTTATAAGGTTTTAGCTTTCATATGTATTTTTAATTTTTCAAATCATATTGTACTAATTACTATATGCTACTTTTTGAATTATTGTATTTCTGATCTATCTCGTTAGCTTATTTTTGTCATATTTCTGATTAATGTTTGATATTAATTGAATGAAAACTTGTTTCTACATACATGATATCCACTTTTTAAGTCGTAGTTTATTTTTTGATTTTTTGGAAACAGGTATTTTCACATGCTAAAAGATGGCACTGTTGCATGTGTACAAGATGGGGTATTTAGAACCAACTGTATTGACTGCCTTGACCGAACCAATGTTGTTCAGAGTCTTTTGGCAAGGAGAAGTCTTGACCAACAATTAAAGGTAATTGTTTAGTTGTTGCTTTCTAAACTCATGATATTGTTATTATTTTACTATGATCATCAGATTTATGAGAACTGTTCCAAAGTGCTCCTAATGTCATATCATTTTGTACCATATTGCACCATATTAATTTTTAGTATTTTTATACATTTTTTACACTGTTAGGAAAACATGGAAATTAATGATCACAAGGTTTGTAGAAACCATTCCCACATTCTTGTGGCCAGGTGGATAAGGCGCTCGACTCGCAATCTGAGGGTCGCGGGTTCGAATCCCAGTCCCACCAAACATGCTCGCCCTTTCAGCCGTGGGGGCGTTATAATGTGACCGTCAATCCCACTATTCGTTGGTAAAAGAGTAGCCCAAGAGTTGGCGGTGGGTGGTGATGACTAGCTGCCTTCCCTCTTGTCTTACACTTCTAAATTAGGGACGGCTAGCGCAGATAGCCCTCGTGTAGCTTTGCGCGAAATTAAAAAAAAAAAAACAAAACCCACATTCTTGAAGAAGAAATCTTTTATGACTGTTAAAAAGACCGTAAAATACCCAGTGCTTCAAAATTTTATTTTATGTAACAAACGATTTTATGAAAATATGCATCCTAAAAACTGATAAAACCTGTATTAGTCATGTAAGTTGAAGATAATACAAATATGTGTAGATGAATGAAATGTGTTAAAACTGGGATTATTTCATGCTGCTAATACTTTCATCTGTTTGTCTTGTTATAGGCAAGGAGATACTTAAATGAATTGTTTTAAAAGTGGGGAAACAAGCAAGGAGATACTTAAATTAATTGTTTTAAATGGGGGGAAACAAGCAAGGAGACACTTAAATTAGTTGTTTTAAAAGTGGGGAACAAGCAAGTAGACACTTAAATTAATTGTTTTAAATGGGGGGAAACAAGTTATTTTTTAATGCATAAATTGAAATTGTCTCATGATCGTTATTTGAAAATATATTTTGTTTTCTCTGTGCAGAGATTAGGAATATTAAGAGAAAGACAGAGGATCGAAGATCAAGTGAGCTTTGAATTTGTGTACAGAAGTGGTAAGTTTCTTTACTACTGTGTGATCCTTAAAGTAATTTACAGTATTTTCATAAAGAATATCCCTGTTTCATGTTAAAGAAATTCTTGCAGACTATGTATTGTTTACTTAACAACACATCTGTACAATTTGGCCATCATTTCTTCCAACAAGTCGTCCCACATGTTATGGAATTATACTTATTCAAACTGGAATTTTTATACATAACAAATCTTACTCAGAAAGACTATATTAAAGCTTTGCACATCAGTTGCATTTGTGGATATATCGATGACATACTTATACCTAATCATCAATGTTTTCTTCACACAGCCAAACAAATTTGTACACTCTCGAAACAAGTTCTTTCACTAAAAACAAAGGACACTACCTGGATGTAGATATCATTATCATTAACCAAACTTATCAATGACATTGACACATTCAACTTTGAAGTTGTAAACTTTCCCTTTCCAAGTAAGTTATATTGCAATTGTTACTACTTGCAGCTTATTAGATACAATAGAATTCCTTCGACCTTACAAAACTTCTTGGAAATAACTTATGAACTCACTTATGTCTAACAAACAAGCTTTCTTTTATCTCTTGTTAAATACAAAATTAATTCAGTTTTGTTCCATTAACTTTGAGTTTTACAGAATATTACAAAGTTTTCAAAACTTTCATGTCTACACTTTAATTTTTTGGAAATTGTTTAAAGTATTTTTGAACTGATTTTCCTCTTGTTAGTTCAAACTCTTATTATATTTAGTTAATACTAACTATGTAACAGTTCTGTAAATGCTATAACATTACATCATTGATTGAATTACATTAATTTTTGGTATTTACTTTATTTGCCATATTTATCCTAACATCCCTTTCTAAGCCTTGAACTTTTTTGAATCGTATTGCATTATAACTTTTTGGCTTTTACAAAATATCTAACTTTATTACTTTATGTTGCCCAGTCTCTCTGCTTTGTTAACCTTATGTGAACAACATTGCACCAACCCAATTTCTACGAAGCTATACCAAGCAATGTTTGCTATAATTCTAAGTTTAATAAGTATATCTTCATGACATTTAGAAAGCTTTTAGTAAACATTAAAAGTATATGTTCATGAAATTTAGAAAGCTTTTAGTAAACATTAAAAGTATATTGTACATAAAAAATTAATTTTTTATAAAGATTTATCTGGAATTTACTGAGTCAGCCTGACTGAGTCTGACTACTCTGAGTGCAAGATGATTTTTATTTTAAGAATAAAAAAATACTTTTTTCATCCTACAGCTTTCATATTTCATTTGCATAACCTGTAAAACCTCTTAAATGAATATCAAAAATATTTTTTTTACTAAAACTTTTTTATATTTTATCTGTTATTTTCTCTACTCTAACATTAACTGTAACAAAATAATCAATGTAGGGTAAATTGAATAGTTGAAAAATATGAAATAAATCAAAATTATTCTTTCATTTCTTTCTTTCTAGAATAACTGCATAATGTTATAGACAAGTACACACTTTTTATTATTACAGCCAAAAATAATAAACTTTTCATATCTGGGTTACTTTAGTTTTATTGTTTTACAGCAGGGTACACTGTTAGCCATTTCTCACAGCCATACAGCTTTGCATAAACAAACAAGTTATGAGCATAGCAGAAATGAATAACAAACATTCCTTGTGCACATATCATGCTACAGTCTTGACTATCATGAGAATTTTTTTATGTAATTTTTGTTTCATATAACTTTTCTTATTTAACGTAATAAGTTTCTAATTTTTTTATTTAGTTAACTTTATTCAATAGAAAAATATACATAAATAACAAGAAATCTAATACTTGCTCATCCAAACTCCCATTTTTTGCTGGCGACAAAATATTGTAGGCCAAACATACTGTTGATGTGAATGTGCTTTGTGGTCACTGTGAGAAAACCTATACACTGGATAGGGGAAGCAAAGAATACTAAGTTTATCTATTATATTGTAGGCCTACTTTTATGTAACAATGTTGGTAGTTCAAAATATTTTAAATGTTTATTTCAAATATGAAATTTAGAATGGGGCTTAAACTTAAATGCCTTAAATTTGATATCTATTTAACCAAAGGAAAAAAAAATAAAACATATTACAGAAATAAAGTAGGATTTTAATATTTTTCTACAAATTTACTTATTAACAAAGGAGTTATACAGTGATTCAGTAGTATGTTTTAGTTAGACTTAAAAAACCATCACTAGATCAAATTTAATACATGCTCCTTTTCATTTTCATATATACTCTGTAACAATGTGTCCTTTGATGGTATGCTTTTAGCTGACAGTCTGACTTACCATTTTTTGTTTTACATTAATAAATAAGGAATACCTTAGGTGGCTTTTTATTCTTTAGAAGTAACTTTATCAAAGTATTTGGATTAATATTGTATTTATTGTTGTGTCCATTATATGATGTCCTTGTAACTTAAAATATGTATATTTTGTCTTATGTTTAAAGGCTTATGATCGAAAACATTTTTTTGAAAATGTATTTGGACTCATATTTGTGATCATTTTTAGTGTGGGCAGACAATGCTGATGTGTGTAGTATCCAGTATGCTGGAACAAGTGCTTTGAAAACAGATTTCACAAGGTGAGGTGTCTCACGTGTGAATAAAGTGTGGTTTAGATGTAGATTGAGAAAAATTTAGTGTATCAATTGATTAATGCCAGAAAATATAAAACTGTAATTTTTCTAAGTTCTACCATTACAGCTCTTCCAAAGATGCATTGTTGATATCATGGCACATTCTTTAAAGGTTATGATATCCTAACCAGTTAAAACATATTTAAAAAAAAAGGCAGTTAGAGAGTCACAAATGTGATTCAGAAGAAATCATAGTAAGGGCAGGACTTAGAAATATCATTGTGGTGTGTGACTTTTGCATCAACCTGTGTTGTTTAGAAGAAATTCAACAGATAAGGATATACATTGCTAAAGATGCTGTATACTAGGGTACTGGGGGAACATGTAATTAGGGTACTAGAGTAAACATAGCTAAAAATATTAGTTTTTACATGACAAAGGTACTGGATTCCAGGCACATGTAGTTGAGAATACTAAGGAGCATAATTAGGGATACTAGAGTAAACATAGCTAAAAATATTAGTTTTTACATGGCTAAAGATACTGGATACTAGGGTGTATGTAGTTGAGGGTGCTGAGAAATATATAATTACGGGTACTAGGATACACACATAGCTAAAGGTGTTGAAATATATGTAGTTAGAAGAGCAAGGGAACGTGTAGCCAATGGTGCTAAGGGTACTAGATTGCATGTATCTGAGGGTGCCGAAGTAGGTGTGGTTAGGGATACTAGAGTGCAGAGGCATATGGAACTAGAAAGCTTGTGGTTGAAGGTACTATGGTTCATACATTTAAGAAAAATAAAATGTATGTGGCTAGAGGTACATGCTTCCAAGAGTTAAAAGTTTCTCAGAGTTTGAATTTTATGTAAAAATATTAAAAAATCTGTATATAATTATATTTTGGCTCTATGATAGTAATATGAATAGTATTCATAACTTCTTCATTTGATCATTATAAAATATGTGTTGTTTTCTCCAGAAGTAAAGCAATTACAAAACGCTGTACCATAGTACAAGCAAATGGCATTGCATAGCTAGATGTTGAAACATTCAATTATTTGTGATTTGAAAACTGTTACAATTATGAATAAACCATATAGCATTTAACATGGCTACAGTTTTACCAGCTTTACTCCACATTCATTAAAACAGTTAGAAGATTAAAAGTCCTTCACAAATTGGTATAAGTAAAATGTTATGTTAAAGCAACTTACTGGCTTTTGTGTGGTTTGATATTAAAATGTTGTTGAAACAGGGCACTTTAGGGAAAAAACTATGAAGCAAAAAAAAAGAAAGATTAAAAATTGTAAAATAATTTGAAAGCAACTCAAATTTATGACAACATTGAGTTTCAAATACGTGTCACATATGTTCTATGAATTTGCTGAGCTTCGTGTAATAATGTAATAATTAAGTATTCTCATTTTCTGTGTGTTGGGCACAGCATGGTTGTTAGTGTGTTAGACTTCAGGTTGAAAGCTCTAAGGATTAAGCTGTGGTGACATTGAATGTGCTCTGCATTTTCAGCATTGGGTGCATTATAACAATAACAGCCAACTTCCTTTATATCTGGTTGAAAGGTGTACAGATTTTTTATGGTGGAAGATGGTGCTTTCCCTTCATCCAACCTGTTGGTAGTTCAAAATTAGGCACTACTTTTTCTGAATGCTATGAGTCTCTCATCTTGCTGTTTAACCAATGTTATTGATATAATTTATTATGCATTAAATATTATTCAACAAACTGGCATGCCATGCTACTAGTTCTGCATATTAATTTTAATAGACTGGAATCTTATCTTCAGATGTACTCAGTGTGCATTTATAGAATATATCTTAATTATTTCTGCAGGACTGGAAAAAGATCTGGAGTAGGCTTGCTCAAGGATGGCTGGAATACATTGATAAGATACTACAAAAATAACTTTGCTGATGGGTTCAGACAGGTAATAATATTATAAATAAAATAAAGTTCTAAAATTTGTTTACTCTTGGATATTAGTTAGTCTTAGACTTTCTGTAGCATCTTAAATTAACATTTACTACTCAAGTAGTTGGCTTATCAATTAGTCATGTTTTGATTATCAAGGAAGATATCAGTTGTATGGAACATTGGGGTGCAAAGACTTTGGAATTAATGTGTTCTTGTATGTACTGAAAATAGTCACTAAAGTTATTTTACAAATTTTGTTATAGTTTACTTCATCTGAAAAACGTATAACAAATATTATACAAGTTTTAGTTCTACAACAATCCAATGTCAAACATTTGTGTTTTCAAGTCAATATTAAATTCAAATAAGAAAAAAGGTTTAAATCTTTAAAGGAGTAAGAGAAGTAACCTTCAATAAACCCTATCCTGTCAGGCAAGGATTTATTTAATGTTCAGTATATTAACAACAGTTTTATTAGTTGGATCTAAACAATGTATTGAGTGTGGCAGTAAACAACTCATGAACTAACACTTAAGTATGGATGTGATGATAAGCAACTGATGAACAGAAGACAAAAGTATTGAGTGTTTTAGTAAACAACTAATCAACTGAACAGTAATTATTGAGAGTAATGTTAAACAACTCATGAATTTGAGATTTCGATGCTCATTAAAATTATATTCTTAAAGCCCTCTTGCAGAAAATAGACAATAAAAATATATAAAAAGATAGTCCACAAGAGAATATCATGTTGAATAACAGAGTATATGTGGTTTTCATGGTATTAGGTATTCTAAGATTACTTGATGAAATGTTATTTTTATGGAAATGTGTAAAAAGTGGTATCACAGTTATCCAGGACCCCAATTAGAGGCTGAGTTTCTCACTCACATAAAAATAGAGTTCATTCAAATTTATCTTCATGGTAAAAAGGATAAAATACTATTTCTTATGAAGGAAAAAATGTTCTGAACAGCATGTACACATGAATTACCAGTGTACTTCAAGCTCAAAAGAAAAATAAAAAGTCAGTGTTTTCTTGATGTGTAATCTTGCATGTTATTATTGATGCCTTTGACTAATTACACGTGTGTGTTGTATTTTATGTCTCACTTTTTGAAAGTTGTATAGCACAGTTAAATTGTACTCTCACAGTAACCTTCCATCTCCCAGGAAAAGTTAGAAAGTGTTGTCATTAAAAATGGATCATCATTATATGACCTAGTATTTACCTAGCATCTTCAATGTGTTTCTAGGTTACTGAATATATATATACATATACATAAAGCACAAAAATCTGTGTCTGTCTGTCTGTCTGTCATCTAACTACTCCAAGGTCACTGGGCCAATCTCAGCCAAACCTTGTGGGATGATAGTTTTGTAACAAGGGGCATGTTAATGGGGGGTCAAAACCTGATTTTGAGCATTTATTATATTTGACATAAGTTAATGTTAACCACATTCATAAATGGTGCTAGAAAACAAACGTTATTAAATTTTTTATAGCACAATATACACACAGTATGGGGGGGGGGGGCACACAAACTGAAAACTGTAATAATATATTATGTTATAAATAAATTGTGTGAAAGTTAGGATTTTTGTGTTATTTATCATAGCATCCACCCCTACATCTTTTTAAGTTCATAACCTGGACAAAAGATGGGTGCATCAGCTTGTTTGTATATAAACACCCAGTTTGAATTATTATAATGTAACAGATATTTCTTGGTGACTAAAAATGTTCCATATAATATTAATTTTGGATTATTAGGAAGTGGCAGATTTATTTCTTGATGACCCAAAATGTTGTAAATAATATTCATTTTGGAGTATTAGAATGTGACAGGCTTATTTCTTGGTGATCCAAAATGTTGTATATAGTATTAATTTTGGATTATTAGGAAGTGACAGACTTGTTTGTGGATATCTACAAACATCATATATAAATGTTCATTTTGGATTATTAGGAAGTGAGAGACTTGTTTGTGGATATCTACAAACATCATATATAAATGTTCATTTTGGATTATTAGGAAGTGACAGACTTGTTTGTGGATATCTACAAACATCATATATAAATGTTCATTTTGGATTATTAGGATGCAATAGACTTGTTTCTTGGTAACTATGTTGTTGAGGAGAATGAAGGAGTTTCAAAGCTATGTCCACTGATGGAGAAGAAGGACTGGAAATTCTTGACTGTAAGTACTATTAATTGATGACCTCAGTTTTGGAGAATTATATGCTATTCACCCTTACATCAACTTGATTTATGTGAAAAGTACAAGTTTCTTCAACTTCGCTAGATCAGTTATTGTCAAGGTTAGTAGCCTATACAATCATCTAAGTATGATTATTAACTAGTAACTACTCTTTTACATATATATATAACTAGATACTAAATTACTAATTAGTTTTATCCTATTCTTTGGCTGCTAATCTCATGTTTATTCAGTAAAGACCTGACAAGGACTATTTTGGTGTTGTTAGTGGCAAAGGTTTGATTCCTGTTCTTCTTGGTGGAAGTAAGGTGTGTTATCCACTCAACTGGAGCCTTCCCCAGTTAGAAATTGAATCAACTAACTGTTTGAATGTTATTTTAGTATTATACCAGGTCTTGTGTGACTATTATGTTCCTCAATTCTAACTTTTGTTGGTCTTTTTGTTTTTCCTGTCCATTGAGTATTTAGATGGTTTTGTGTGTAATGTACCTAAATGTAACAACATTGTGTTTTGGCTTTTGAATACTGTTGTGACTTTATGCTGCTTACATATCCTGAATGTTTTGAGAGAGACCTCTGACACAGGGAAATATGGCTGTATGTTTGTAATTGTAGAGAATCTAAAATTTAGGAAAGTAATAGGCTTACAAGACTTGGTAATTCTGATCTATCTGTAATAGCCTACTCCTGCTAGAAAAGAAGACCGTAAGATAAGTTGGTATAAAACTAAAATAATAGGATATAAACCAAGGATAGAAAAAGAAAGGCGAAAGAAATCTACTGTATCCACCTAAGTGATAACACACTCAATCAACCTAGCATAGAAGTCATCAAAACCAAATTGAGAACATTCAAATAGTGCATTGAAGGTCAGAATGGGAGAGACCCCAGTTATGTGAATAATGAACCAGTCTTCCATCAATAAGAGGTGGGATCAAATCCTAACCATTACCAATACAGTGATAGTTTTTCTCATGAATTCCCTAAGAATGGCAGCAGATTAGCAGGCAAAACATAGGATATAAATATTTGGTAATTAGTATCTATTTGTGTGTGTGTATATATATATATATATATATTAGTTAATAATTATATGTAGGTGACTGTATAGGGTACATTGATATCCAGTTGCTACAATGAGTATCTGTCGTTAATCAAAAAAAATATTATCATCAAAATGCATTTTTAACCCATTAACTGTGGCAGGAGCAGCTCAGTTGCTGTTTTCTGACTCGCAGATAAAACTGAGTTGCCATCAATCACAATAAAATGGTAATTTTCGTCATTCGCATAGAGTTAGAGTTATATGTGTGTGACTGACGGATATTTCAGTCATTCACAGCTAAGCCATAGAACTTCAGTGCCAAAAATAGCCATCATCCGCAGTTAATGGGTTAAGGAATGTGGAATTTTATTTTGGATTAGTAATTTTGTTTTTTCACTAGACCTTTTTTGAATATGTGCCTCATTCTTGCTTGATTAACAGCTAACTAAAGTTGTCATATAATGTGAATAATGTTCAACAATGACTAGGTGAAACAACATGCTCACATGACTGGAAAATTCATAAAAAAAGTAAGATAGAGTGAACCTTTATGTATATTAAGTATACCATTACGCATTATTCCCAAACAACAAACATTAGAAATTAATCTTTTGAATGTACACCTAAGTGTTGTATGTATATATGAACACACACACAAATCATAATAATTTTTTTATTTCCTTTCTATAGCTTCCAGTTATTCTGCTGGTAGCATTGGCTATGTGTTTCATCTGTCTTCTTATTCCTGCAGGTAACTTTATCATAATTATGCTGTTGCAACTTTTTCTTATATTGAAACATTTTTTTGTTTTTTAACCAAACCTTTCTGAATGTGTGAGATATTATGTTTTATAGAGTCGTCGCTAGGTGCTTAAAAGATACGGGGCTTGAACCTGTAGGTGCAGAAATTTTTGGTATTTCAGTAGAATATCAATCATGGTTTTCTATCCTGATATTTCATGTGCCGGTGCCTAGTGACGCCTTTGTATATAAGTACATCTTATAGCTCTAGGAATAGGAGTAAGGAGAGGAAGCTAATTAAATTAAGGGTTGAAAGTTTTGTATCATATTCTAATGGAGTACTTGGTTCAGATTGCTTGAGGATTAGCTTGTCTTGTGTCAAAAATAAATAATGGGCTGTTTTATTATTGTTTGTTTACAGTAATTACACAGTTATAATCATCAAACACTTTTGTTATAATGTTTGTTGTTTTACTTCTTTTTTTAATTCTCTCTGAAAGGAGACATAAATATACTAGTAGTATGACAAATAGCACAAACATCAAATCATTTCTTTCGTGCATTCTGTTGAAATTATTGTTACTGAAATTACTAAAAGAAGGCAGTTAAGTCAGCTGTAAAGTAGAAAAACTATCACTCAAATTATATATATATATATATATATACTACATATTATATATATTATTTGTTGAGTGATAGTTTTTTCTACTTTACAGCTGACTTTTGATAAATTAAGTTTTCTGATGGTAGTAATGTTTGAGATAAAATTTGTAGGTTCTTGTATTTGTTACAGCATTACAATTTTAGATCTAACCAGTATCGTAAGAAAATTTTACTCAATATAAATACTATTGTTAGTAATATCTAATTGTTTTCCGTTTTTTTTCAGTTCACACCACAGAAACGATCATGTACATGATGTTCTGGGCTGTAATGGTTGCAGTCACGTTAAGTGTCATCATGTATTATGGTGTGGAATTTGTAGACTATCCAAAGTTACGAGAATTCCGACCAAAGATTAAACATGAGTGATCATGTGGGAATGTTTAATCAATTATGCTGAAGTAGCAGTTTCAATCATGTCATTATGGGATTATTTTAAATGACAAGTGTAATTTAAGTGGTGTGTGTGTGTGCCAAAGCACTTCAGAGGTTGTATAATGTTTTTTGGTTTTAAGTCTAATCAGATAACCAGTTATCAGTTAAATCAATGAAGCTTTAATATAAATCCACTGGTTATTGGTTAAACTGGGATATTCTTTGATGAACATGATTTTTGGATGTAAAATAAGAATTTGTTGCTTATATTTAAAATCATGCAAATCTGTTTCTTGTGAATCTTTATCTCAGGTACATTCTTCTGATTCTTTAATAGCTTTAAATTTGTTTTATTTTCAAATAAATTTAACAGATGGAGTTAATCTGGCTATTTATTTTGGTTATTTCTTGATTATTTCATGTGGAAACTATAACATTTTGCAAACAACATTAAAGAAATGTGGACGATGCTTAACATGTATGTTCTAGTATTTAAAATTCTGCAGCTACATTTGAAAATCTCCTATTAATTCATATAATTGACAATTGAAGCATAAGTAATGTTATGAAGCATTGCATTTGATATAAATGTAAGTAGTTCAAGAATGAAAATAAAATTGCTTGTTATTTAAATAATAGTAACAAATGGAAATAACTGTGTGTTTTATTAGATGGCAAATAATAATACATTTTCTCCAACACTAATGTGACAAAAGTTTTAATCTTTACATTCACTACATTTGAAGATGAATGTTGAAGAGAATGAGGTATTACTAAACATATCTTTGATAAGTTAGGTTTTCTTATGGTTCAGGAATGTAGAAGATAAAACTAATAACTTGTTAAATATGTATCCTGTTCTGGAAAAAAATTAAATTTGTAGGTTGTCTGATAACAGGTAGTTAAGCTGTTAGCTTAGCCTAGAAAGAGAAAGGTAATAACTTGTTAAATTTTTAGCCAAGTCTGTAAATGTAAAGATAATAGCTTCTTAAACTTAGTAGTTTGATCTGGAATATGAAACCTTGTTTGGAACTAAAACAATAATCTTTTTTTTTTTTCACTTATTGACAGTGAATATAAATGTTACTTATTTCTCTGTTAAAAAAATAGTTTGGTGTTACTAATTTTTTGTGTCAAAGCCACCCTTTTGTGTTAAATAGTTGTAGCTTGTAGACTGGCTGAATAACATTTGTTTACTTATAGTATAAATGTGAAGATTTGACAAACTGTTGATGAATATTTATTTTCATAACTGAACTGGTATTATGTTGAAATATCTACATATTTTTTCAAACTAATCATCAGGTGATGGAGCATGCTGTATAAATTTTTCTTCATTATGGATATAAATATGTTCATAGACAATCCTTGAATATGTATGGTGTTAAAAAAATCACTGGTCCAAAGAAAAGTTCTAAATTGTATTTTGACTTAGTATATTTCAAGTTCCTTAGTGATATAGATATAGTAAATCATTTCTTATTGTTTTAGCTAGTTTAAAGAAAATCCATTAGTTCTTATTAAGGTATCAGTATAAACTTTTTCAAAGAGTTTGCATCAAAGAGAAAATATGACTTTTAACATTTAAACAGTCCTGTCTCAAGTTGGCTTATAGTCATAAAACAGTTTCAGTTCAATCTGGTTATGCATTCACATGATGCTTATAAAGTTTGATGGGATTTTTTTTATTTTTCATGTGAAGATTGCTGTAATATTGTTAAAACTTATGATTAAGTTGTTTTGGTTGAAGTTGTAACAGTTTTCAAAGTATATATATATATGCACACAAACACATATATATGTATTAAAAGTGTGTATTATGTATGCATTATCTAAGACCTGCAAAACATTTGAAGTCAAGTTAGTATCTTTATTGCAGCAGTACTTCTTTAAATACAGGATTTCTAGAATAATGCAAAATAATTCTAATTGCATACACCAAAATCTCCAAGTTCACTTGTCTTAGGCCTAACATTAGTTAAGCCTTTATTAAGGATGGCCTATATTCAATAAGAAGATACATTAACACTGTAACTTGTGTATGTTTTTAGCTTTAGTTTAGTTAGGGCTAAACTTTACCATACTTAATACTATCATTAAATATACTTATAATGTTATTCTACAACCTAACGTTAGACCTTTTTAAAAACTTTGATTAGCTTTTAAAGTATTGTACAAAATGTCTACTAAAGTATATTTGCATCCATTGAAATGAAGTGCATGTGCATTTTTTAGGACAAATTGAGTATTATTGTAATAGATAGGAGTTTTGACAAAATTAGCTTTATATTAGTGCTTTATATGATGAAGAATAATTCACTCTATCTTCTTATTTTGTATAGTTTTTAGAACAGCACTTTGTAGTTTTGTGTGAAAAGAAGATATGCAATGGTTAATAGTTTTAACAGTTGTAATAATTATATCAAGTACTGCAGAAACATGCATTTTTAGTGAAATGATTTTTTCTTCTATCTGGAAAAACATTCCTCTCACTAACTTTAAAAATAAAATATGTATAAAGTGACATCATATTTGTAAAGTTTGATGGGATTATTTTTTAGACAGCATGATAATCTTTTTTTGTGAAATTTTTAAATAAAACAAGTTGACTTAGAGTTAAGCCTGTAAAACCCAAATCACATTTGGTCAAGTTGTTTTATTGTTAAATGCTTTGCACATACAACCTTCATACACATCAAGACACTATGCTAAAGCAAAACAGAACATAGAAATTATTAAATTCTACCATGAACCTCTTACTAGTTATAGAATCTATTATAGTTTCTGCTTTAATATGTTGGACAAATGTTTTATACACACATACACAGATATATATATACCTTTATCATGCTGGTTATCACAGGATAACAATGTAAAGTATATTTATAAGTTTGTTCATGGGATTGTTTTTTGTTTGTTTTTTCAGTAATTAATCATTAATGAAAATCTATGAGCACTTTAGTGGGGATTAATTTGTGCAACAGAGTTGACATCAGTAAGATCCATAGAACAGTTTTATGCCACTTTAAAACAATTTTAATAGCAAAGTTAGGACTGAAAGCTTACTATTAAGATAGTTTTGATGTGTATATTACCACTGTTCCTTCTTATGTTTCAAGACATTTAATTAAAACTAATATTGTGCTTTTAAAAGACAATTATTCACATATTACCTCAGAGCATGTTATTTCTAGTAAAGCTCTAGATAAAAAAAACCTGGCCTGGCATGGCCAGGTGGTTAGGGCACTCGACTCGCAATCTGTGGGTCGCGAGTTCGAATCCCCGTCCCACCAAACATGCTCGCCCTTTCAGCCATGGGGGTGTTATAATGTGACACTCAATCCCACTATTCGTTGGTAAAAGAGTAGCCCAAGAGTGGGCGGTGGGTGGTGATGACTAGCTGCCTTCCCTCTAGTCTTACACTGCAAAAGTAGGGACGGCTAGCGCAGATAGCCCTCGTGTAGCTTTGCGCGAAATTCAAGAACAAACAAACAAAAAAAACCTTCAACACTATAACATGTGTACAATGCTGCATTGACTATTTTTATGTGATTTACATTCATTGCACTTACTGTTTTCTTACATATTTTTTTGTTAATTAAATAAGTTAAAAATTAGTATAGTTGATAACAGAGTTTCTGGAGAGATGTTGTTCAAATGATGATTCATGCATGAAACTTTAAATGGATACTTCTATTAGTTCATATTACAAGAAAAAAACGTTAGCCACCTGAAAATCCAAGATGGCTGCCAATTTTTCATTCTGATGACCATTTTCAACACAACTAATAGATTTGTTCAATTGTAGTGATCTTAATGTCTCATTATAAGTGTTTGACCATGTTAAAACCAATTCCGCTATCTATAAACGATTTCAAAGTTCATTTTTCTCATTTCAGCATATGATGACAGGGTTTCAGGTTTCTGGATGGTGTACAGATCAGATGGAAATTAAATGACATTGGATAAACAATCAGGCTTGGTGTAGGGCAAAGGCATAAACCTAGTTGTATCCCATTCATCAAATTGCATAACATATAAGGTGATAAAAAGATAAACACTGCCTTAAATTGTTAACCTACTAGAATAAAAGGAAAATGTGTGTGCCTACTAAATCTAAATGGTAAACAGGCTGGAGTAAATATTGCTTTTATCAACAGGACAAAAAAGAAGACCTCAAGTTGCCATCAAAAATGGACAAAGTAGCTATAACAACATTGTAACAAATATACCTCTGTTTGATGCTATCAGTGCTATACTAATTATGCTAGACCCAACCAGACTAGAAGAAAGTAACAGCATAGTGAATCTAAAGACAGCGCTAAGAAGAAACAGTGCAAAGTATCATCAAAGCTGTAGACTTATGTTTAACAAGACGGAAGGCTCAAAAAGAAGTTCTGCTGTTGCAACAAACAGAGGAGAACCATAGCAAAGTAAAAAGAGTTTCTCATAGAAAAAAAAAGAAGCATCAGAATGCTTTATATGTAAGCAACAGCCCCTAACACATGCTAGGAGTCATAGTGATGGAAGGTACCTTACAAAACTCATTGGTGATGATGTCTTGACACAGAAGCTTAAGTACCATCCTGCTTGCTTAGTATCATTATACAGCAGAGATCAAGCCCATCTAAATGCCAAGAAATATTAGAAGAGTATGCAAAACTTGGCCTTTTCCAAATTTGTCACTTGCATTACTGAAACGAAGGCTACCAGTGAAGGTGCTGGGCCACTCATATTCAGGCTTGCAGAGTTAGCTAACATCTACAAGCAGTGATTTGAACATCAGAGTATTGAATCACTAGGTGTTATATCAACAAAGTTAAATAACCTGTGACTATCTCACATGACAAAGTTTTAGAAATCTCATCAAAACTAGGATAAGCAATGGTATTTCACTATGTAGAAGACAAGGATATATTCCATACATCTTGAGAAAAGGATTATTTACAATGAACAATATTGACCATAATCCAACTGCAACTACAGCTAGCACATCATTCCATGGCACTAGTCTCTCTGTCTTCCATCATCTCATTCTAAAAATAAAGGTGAAGTGTGAGAACTACTCAGAATGAGAGCTAGGATAGCAAGGAAAGTTCCACAGATTCCTGAATCCTTCACCAATTTTCATCTAGCTGACTGCATGAAGAAGAAATAATCTAAATCAGCATCCACTAAATGTTTACCAAGCCATTGTTTGTTTGGGAAAAACATAAAACTGAAGTATGATTAGTTGGAAAGTATGATGCTCTCTGAAAAAGTGGATAATTCTATCTGTATAACATGGTCAGTGTTAGATATACACGAGTGTTTCAGTATAAATTTAATGCAAGCGTTACAATTTAGATAGTTCATATAGTGCATGAGTTTAACAAGAAATGATATTTTATGGCAAGTTTATTTACATAACTGTTTATGAATCAAACATTTTGTTGTTCAATTGTAATGAATTAGTGATTGTTTACAATAGTGAGATTATATTACGTCATGTTGCTAGAACTTTTTTGTTTCTCATTGGTTTAATTGAGCATTATTGCATCAGAATATCTAGTATTGTGTGGAATGTTCTAGACTTCTGTTAGGGAAAAAATATATACATTGAAAAATCATTATTGATTGAGCTCTAGTTCTAGACTGCATGATTGTGAGTTTAGTGATAAAGAGTGTATAGTGGCGATTTTTAAAGTGAAATTATCACAGACTCTAGTGTAATAACAGAGTAGAGAATAATAATTAATCTTGTTAATTGTGTTCTAAGGTAACTGAACCAACCTGTGTGGACTGTGACAAAAAGTAGAAAACTATATAAAGCTCTGGATATAACTGTGGTAACCAACAATGTAACGAACATTTGTATATACATTTGGTTTGTTTTCATATATTATTTTTAAAGGAAGTGGAGTGTATTGCTCTTTGTTTATAGCTGAAGATTAACTCCAACAAATCACAGGTAGCTACTGTAAAGAATCTGACCTCGTAAAACCTGACAGTCAGCCCACCATGCAACACAGAAGGGAAGTCAACATAATATCACTATTGTCTATTCTTCGAGAATAGACTCATTCTTTGTGACTATAAAACATATCATTAATAAAATCAGGAACACAATAACATTGTTGAATCCAAGACAAACTCCAGTCATAGCTGCTGACTAGCCACTCTTTGCATTAGTTAGCCAAATACAATGACACTGACAAGTGTGATACAGA